GTGCAGGGCACGCAGGGCCATTTACCGAGAATGAGCGGTTTAGATATTGCTATGGTGGAATTTTCCTTTAAAATATTACTGTCTTTGTCACATTTTTCCTTCATTAAAATATGCCATGGAAACATTTGCTGTCACTTTTTCACCAGAATGATGATGGCAAGTGCAGACCAGCAGTGTGTGTCATCATGGATGAGAAAAGTCTACTCACATCAACATCATTCAAGTTGATGGTCGAACGGGAACAAGTGTGCTGCTGTGGCGATATTGTAACAGCTTTCGCGTGCTTTGTGAGTGCTTTCTACGTCTTTCATTTGAAGTACCCTGTAACACACATCAAAACACTGGAATTCACGCAGATCGCCTTACTGGGTATTAAGGACAAATGTCCAGTTCAGAAAACGGTACTCACTTTGATCTCAAGGTTGAACAAGTTCACACAAAAGAAAGAGGATTAAGATGCCCCAACCCAGTGACCAGAGTCAACTTGTTTATTGTTGTTACTTGTTAAAAACAAGTTTTAATGTTTGTAAGTTTTAAATACAAGTTTTAAAATTGGGTGGCGCGGCAGAGATCTATGTCGGGAACTGGGGGTATAGGGTTCTGTTAATGGACATGTGTAGTACTTCAGGTTTGGACAATGATATCAAATGTGAACTAGGTAAGGTTTTCGGTAACACCATGTACAAGGAAGAATCTCTCCTTGAGTGTGTGGTTCTGAGAAGAACTAGTGGTGAACACTTGACGTTACAAACAGTATCATACGGTTCGGAACATCGTGATTCTTCCTTGTACATGGCGTTACCACAAACCTATCCTAGTTCAGTACCTCCACCATGCATAACTTCATTGCATACATACATGTACAGTCTTGTGTTTGATTATGATGTGAATTAAGATGTCTAAGAGTTTATTAATAGAGCAACTAAAGAACTGTCATTAAAACAAGTTTTAAAATTATGTGACATGTGGCGGAGATCCTTGTTGGGGACTGTGATGGGGGGTATGGGGTTTGGGGAATAGGGTGTTGTTTGGAAATGACTTCAACTTGAAAAAGGGGGGGGGGCTTGCTGACACCACAAGGCAGAATGGCCTGTACATGCTTGCAACTTCATCCACATGACAAATTACCAGCTTTTGATTTTTACTTAATCTCTAACTTTCAGTGTGATTGATTTTACCTTGAATGTCAAATCCTTATTTAAAAAAAAATTATTAAATCATTCGTCCTTCGGTCAAAAAGGTTAAGCATAACCACCACCAGGGATATCGGCTCATGGGCCACACACGCAAACCATTTCATAAGGATCCTCCAACCGAAGGTCTTTTAATGAACACGTGTAGCACTTGAGGTTTGCAGAATATTACATACATCATGTACATTGCATTTTGATGTAAAGTCCTCTACCATAATATATGTACTGGAATATTATACAAGTTCATTTTGCCTTATCAAAATGCATTTCTAGCATATGATAGTATGGGTTGATGTTTTATTGAGATGTAAAAAAGTGGGAAAGATTTATTCAAACCTCATTAATTTTGAGATAATAGAGACTTTTGGGGGGTGCTATTAATCCATTCATTTGTTTTGTATGTAGCTAATACAGGAGAAAGATTGTAGACGCTATTTCACAAATGAGTGGAACTTGGTTTTAAGGGAATGGGCACCACATAAATTCAGAGATAGTTCACTGGCTCAAGAGAAAAGAATTTTTAAATGTTATGGTTATGGACATAAACTGTGATATTTTATTTAAACCTCAACATAAATGTATATTGTTGTCATTGCACTTGACATGTTAATACATGTAAATAAATGTACATATACATGTTATTCCAGTGTACATATAAGAAACAAGTTTGAAATTTTGAAATGTATTTCAAATTTGAACAATGTTAATATACTGTATTATTAAAGTGTGATGTCAACTTCCTGACTTCAATTGAAATATTGAGTCCTGTGTTGTTTGTTTTCATTTCTGGAATTGCGTTCAGTGTGACCAACCAACATAGTTTCAGCATAGTTCAATTAGTCAGAAGACAAATTAATTCTTTTGCATTACTAATTAATTTTTGTGCATTACCAATTAATTTTTGTGCATTACTAATTAATTTTCGTGCATTACTAATTATTTTTTTGTCATTACTAATCATTTCAGAAATTAGTCAAATAAGACACTTTTTCATGACTAATTATAANCATGACCACTAGACCATCGCTGAAAAGGAGACACAGAAGAGCTACCCCACTCATCAACGCAGGCACCAAGATTTGCTTCAGTATTCCGGAAACCAGTCGTAAAGAAGGTTGTGAATCCCAAGAAACGTGTGACACAAGCCCGCTGCTTAACCTCCGATGAAATTTATGAAGCCGAGGTCCAAAAACAGGAAAAGAAAAAGAGAGAACAACAGGAAAAAGAGTCCAGAAAAATGGAGAGAGAAAGAAAGAGGCAAGAAAAAGGAGAAGTCGAAGCAAGAAAAACAAGTCCTGAAACTGCTAAAGGAAAAGGAGCAACAAAAACAAGCACCCAAGAAGGACAACAAAACAAAAGGACGGATAATTTACAATTTTTCAGTGAGTTTAAAAATGAAAACATCTGTTAAATTGTGGAAGACATGTTCAAGAATAATTGTTTTACACAAAGAAATAAAGTGTTCATGGAAAAAGATGTTTGCAAATTAAATAAAAGCATAATTCTGCTTAAGTGTTCCAATTACCCTGCTTTACCCTAGAGCCGGCCATGCATTCGTGGCACATTCCATCCATAAAGTACAGGGGTGAACAGTGTCATGAGTGTGGGAACCGAGAGGAGGTTAGGATGGCCCATACATGTCGCCGGTGCACGTGACAAATTTTACTCTATTAATGCTTGATGCACACATTCAACGTCTAGCCATGTTTGTTATTTGAGTTCATTTAGTATAAATTCATGGTTAGTATTTTTATCGTAGTAGTGCCAGTAGGGCTATTCTTATGGAAACCATGATGCAACATAATATAAAGTAGTGTAAGAATTCCACATTTAAGTGAGCAATCTGATAGCCCAAGCAATAGTGTATCTAGCTTCCGTGTTGACATTACGGGCTCGAGCGCTGCACTGGGCCACTTTTTTTTTAATTTAAAATTTCGTGGTCTTGAAGGATTACTGTAAAGGGAAATAAAGTCCAAAATTTCAAAAGTTCGAATTTCTGGTTTTTTTTTTAATTAGGACTAGTGGCTTTGGAAATATTTTTTTTACTTTATCTACCATAAGCGATGAACTCCATGGTTTGAACAGTCTGACATCCAAATTGATAAACATGTTATTGTTCGGCAACAATGTTTGTCGTAGCACAATTGATTTGATTGTGATGAAAACTCTCGGAATGTGCCGTGACACATTGTCAACAAATCTATTTTTTCTGTTACAGATATGAAGCTTCGTAGAAAAGAACGAATCGACTATCGTCAGCTCCATGAGGGGCCAAAGTTATCTGGGTTGACGTCACAACGTGACCAGCTACATTGGCCAGCATCAAAATTGTGGCGCTTCCAAATCATAGAAGAGCGTGAGGAGGAAGTGAAGGTCCATTGGGAGGGATGGCCAGCCACGAACGACCAGTGGATTGCGAGAGAAAGCATAATCGATGTACCAGCTGGTATTGAAGAGGCAGATGCTTTCAGTCATTTGACTAATCAACTGTTCATTCAAGTAAGATTAAGAACTGATCTCTGCAGTGAAAAAATTTGTTAGTGTATACATGTAGCTCTATAATACATGTACTGAGAAGTATCAACATGATGAAATGAGATGAATCAAGCTGGCAATAAAAGGACTTTGATGATATTTAGAAATATTTTGTAATAAAGCCATGCCACTTTGTAACATACTTGGTCCATTACAGTAATAACATTCCGAAAGGTCTAATTTACTGGAAACACTTAAGAAAATAATAGCCTCACTGGGTTTGTGCTCATGGTATACTGTGATAATTGTGTACTCTGCAACAGACTGTCATCCACACAAATTTGGCTTATACCCAAATGAAAAATGAACTGTTTTTTAACTTCACGCTTAATGTACATGTAGGTACTCGTACTGTATAAATGAAGATGTGCAAATGTGTGGCTCTAATTTCAGTGAATCTCCTTGTTTCTTCTCAGATCCAGGAGCAACTAACAATCGCAAGAGGATCCGACTCGGAGGTCACCATCCGTATTCCTGTCCAGAGAGAAGTTTTTGATGACTTCTCTGGGAAAGCTGGACTAGTAGAGGCATCTGGATCAAGATTCCGTGTTCAAGACTATTCCCTCTTTACCCAGCATCTTGGAGAAGATTGGGATTTACGGGTGTCCAATGAGGCCGGAGACCATGCAAGGGTCAATTTAGATACATTGACTGTTTGGCTACAAGAACGGCGTCCTCTTGTCACATATACAAGTAAGCTAAAAAAGAAACTGGTCCATCGAGGATACAACCTGGTTGTGCATTTTGTGAAGGACTACGGAAATCGGTTAGATTTGACAGCAGTATAAAGTTTTAGATTTCATTCATCATGGCAAGTACTTTTTTGCCTGTTTTGATTTTGTTGTTTTACCTAGCGATAACCTTGGTTGTTTCCCTACCTACTTCTGATGAGTGGATGTTGCCAGTAAATAGATATGTCCTCCATGAAATAGTTGTGTCCTCTTGTCCCAATAGAAAAACTGAATCCTTTGACCAGTCGGTAGCAAACAATGTTCTCACCAATATTTTGACTTCAAATGGAATTTCTGAACACGAAGTAGACCAACCCAAGCTCGGTCAACAACTTCTAAAAGCTGTGAGGGTGATGCTAAGTAAATTGAAAGCGGAGAACAGAAAAGGTGGTCGTAATGCATCAAACTTACTCAGCAAGTGGAAAGATAGTAAGTTGAACCTAAAATTAGGAGGTGCAAAACGCAAACTGGAAGATGACCTGTCAAGGGAAAAGAAGCGTAGAAAGATCTGTGAAGAGGAAATTGCACATCAGAGAAAAATTATCAAAACAATGGAAAAAGACAGAAACAATGTTGTTAGAAAACTGCTGAAGAAGACCAAAAAAGCATCACGAAAAAATGGATCAAAAGAAGGCTACTCCAAACGCTACGTAAAACGAATGAAGAAAAATCTTGTTGAAACTGCAAATGCAACAGTTGTTCTGTTACAGTCAGTTGGGTTGAAGGTAACAACTTTGTGTGTATCAGATAAGTTCGGAAACCAGGTGAATCTAAAATATGGTACTGAAATTGGAAAAAAAGATACGAATCTATCTGTCAAAAAAGCCATGTATCTAAAAGATAGCCTGTGCTTATCTGACAAAAGTTACAGACAACTTTCAAAAAACTTGAATCAGCTGCCGAGTCTAAAGAAGATAAAAAAGCTAGCAAAAGAGGTAGATGCCATCTTTCCTATAAAAACCTATGACAGCATGATTGGTGCATGGCAGCCTCTCAACCAGAAACTGCTATTTGTTGTTGAACAACTGAGTAAGATTTACCCTAATGAACCTGTTCCCGACCACATTGGCATTAAAATTAGTGGTGACGGTACGCGTATTGGTAAACGGATACACTGTGTAAATATAACCTTTAGAGTGTTATATGGAAAGCACCTTGGCAGCGAGCATATTTTGGGCATGGTTCGAAAACCAGAGAAATACAAATTTTTATGTGCAGTTTTTGAACCCATTGTCGCCAATTTACCAGACAGTGTTTTTATTAGTAATGAATCTGTTCCTCTGAAATTCTATTTAGGTGTTGACTTGAAGTTTTTGAACGAGATGATGGGGTTGGGGGCATGCAGTAGTAAATACAGTTGCGTGTGGTGCAAGTGTCCCAGCAGTGAGCGCTACATCCACACTCGAAAATGGTTAATGCTGGATAGCGAATTTGGAGCACGTTCTGTGGATGAAATTACTCGTCTAAGTACACTGCCAAAAACTAAAAACATGAGTTGTGTTGCTCCACCTATTCTCCCATTCATCCCTCTGCAAAATGTTGTTGTTGACCCATTACATCTCTTTCTAAGAATTTCAGACCAATTAGTGCTGCAGCTCATACAGATTCTCAGACATAAAGACAATGTTGGCAGAAGTTCAAAAAATGTTGACCTGTCAAGGTGTCAAAACATTGTGGCGTTTGAAGAGTTTGTGAGGGACCTCTCTATACCTTGGTCATTCTATACCTGCAAGGCAGCTG